AAATACATGTAGCCGAACCCTTTTTCTGTGCTAGGAAGTTGAACAGTCAGCATACTTGTAGCAGAGCCCTACTCGGCAGTGGAGACTAACCGCAGCACTAGAAAAGCTTCCTCTTCCTTGTCTTCAAGCATCAGTACTATAGCTCCTTCACAGCAGAGGAGAGAGACCTCAGCTAGTTGTTTTCTAGGCCTGGACGAACCTGCTCTGATACCATGTTGAGTAGGAGACCAAGAAGAAGAAGAAAAGAAGAAGGAGAAAAGAAGAAGAAAGAAGAAGGAGAAGAGAAAGAAGAAGGAGAAGAGAAAGAAGAATAAGAGGCAGCTGAGTTAAGGCCTCAACAAAACTTAGCTTCAGTCTAGTGAAGCTATCTATTTATACTGTTCTGGCCGTACATAACAATATGTATACAGAATTACGAAAATACCCCTGTGGGTACTAAGCCTGTGTTCAGTACATATAATACACCTGTTAACAGTACTTCTAAACCAGAATCAGGAGGTTTTCTCTGCCCATAGTAGAGATGTAACTAAAGGAATATCTACGTGATTTCTTGAATGGGACTCACCCAAATATAAAAAAGCCCAGTTATTAGTTTAATTGGGTGAATTATGTTATGTGAGAAATTATACAAAAAAAAAAAAATCAACTAACAGTGTTTTACTTTTTATGTTCTTTTCTTGTTAGATAGAGAATATTGCTCAGTCTTGTTCATCCACACTGTCTTGTAATTGGCCATCTCTAAGTTTTTGCCTCTCACCTTTTCGTCAATATTTTATTTTCTGATTTTTTGCTTGTCGCATCCTTGCATCCTTATCCTTTCTTTCCTCATTTCTTTTCATTGATGGTTGATATATACATGAGCTTCTTCTTAAGCCTCACCAAAGCTGGGAGTATTCCATGCAAATTTCTCCATCACTGGAAGTTTCTGGATGCAGTGGATTATCTAACTTGGAAGAAATTAAATCTATGTTTTCTCACAGAAGTATGTTCATTGGAACACTATTCTACACCTTCAGTTTATCCAGAACTGCTGACCCGATCTCATGTCTGTCTGATCATCCTTAAACTTTTTTGGGGGATCCTCAATGTTACACGGATTTGAAGATGAGTTGGGATCTGCAATGTCTCAAGGAATCTGACTTGCAAGCTGATAAAGCATGGATTTTGGGATTCAAGAAAAAGTAAAGCATCTATTATTAGGCAGTAGGGTACTATTTTTTTTATCAGTGAAAGATAATTTTATTAATTTAAAAACAGATTACAAGTATTTTGCAGAGTAATAAAGTATAGAAAGGTCCCAGAATACAAGAATCATCAACCCTCTTTTTTAACACATTCAGCTACAGTTTTGCCCAAAATAGAAAAGGCCTATCAACTCCATGTTTTGCTAGAGTGTCTGCCAGTCCATTTGCTGTCCTTTTGGTCCACCCAAATGTAGAGCTAAAGTTCTTAGCCAGTAGCTCAATCTCCCTGAATGCAAATCTGTACTTCCATGGTGCTGAGCTCACTTGCTTAGTCCAAGAGATGACTAACAGTGAGTCCCCTTCCACTTCCAATTCTCTAGCTTCTAAATGCACTGCTAATTTCAAACCTTGCAAGAGTGCCATTGTCTCTGCCTGAACCAGTCTCCATACCCAATTGGTCCTGAGAATAACGCCACAATCTCTTCAAGATGATTTCTGAAAACTCCTCCTATTCCAGCCCTCCCTGGGTTCCCAAAGGAGCTACCATAAAAGTTCAGCTTCAATTTATTTGGCCCTGGCGGTTTCCAATCCACCTTGGTCCTTTCTTTATGCAATTCCATTTGTGCCACCTCCTTCCATTTTCTTATTATGTCATTTGTTAAAGTATATTTGAAGATATCTAATGTTTTTATCCAGTGTGCAGATCTGATTTTTATAGTTTCAATTACTTCCTCCATAGATTTTCTCTTCTCAGAGAAAATCATTTGATTTCTTTCTTCCCAGATGGCTCAAACTGCAGCTGCTCTTGTTACCCTCCATAAGCATTTTGCCCTTTTTTTCTTGTTGTCGTAGGACATTGGATCTAAAAAGGCTGACCACATCTTGTGGAGGAGTCAATCTGCATGCAAAGAGTGAGGAAAAGTAATCCCAAATACAAGACACAAAAGAGTAGGAAATTAGTAAATGAGGAAGGGTTTCACCACTAGCCAAACAGAGGATACAAACATGAGGAGAAAGGCACTTTCCTGGCCTTCTTTTCTGTAGTAAGTCACAGGTGTTAATCTTTCCGAGGAACACTTCCCAACAAAGAGTCTGCACTTTGGGAGGGATACTATTTTGTAAGCTTTCATTCTTGAACCTATATAAAATTGTGAAAATAGATACAACAATTCCTTATTTGATATTTGAAAACCTTTTATAGGAAAATAGAGCACCCGTTGTGTATAGTAGATGTTAAACTTATGGTAAATTAAACCAACATGGATGGCCTTCTTTCAAGGAATGAGATTATCCCTACAACTTGGTCTCAGAGATTTGGAAGTTGAAGGAGATTCACAACTAATCATTCATTTGACAAAGCAAGTCATATCAGCACCTTGGAAATATAGACATGCTTTCAGGGAAATTGATGTCATTGCAAAGCAAATACATTCTAGTTTCAGTTGGGTGCGAAGAACTGCAAATGGTGTGGCAGATGTTCTAGCTAAACAGGGAGTTGACAGACCTAACTTATTCTGGGCAAAAATGTAAACCCATGTGACCAGGGTGTGTTGGAAATCTCCAACAGTTGTATTAAGTTTTAACTTTTTTAGTGAAATCCTTTTGCTGATCAAAAATAAATAAATAAATAAACCAACATGGAAAAAAAAGTGAAAGAAAGACATTGTTCAGATTCAAAAGAGGTCATGTACAATCAATACTTTACCTTTTCTTCAAAAAAATCCATTGTTCAGATCCATGGTGTGTGGGAATCTGAAGTATGCCACTTGCTGCTAAGTTCCTGATGCGTCATTTATTCCATGCCTTGTATGGAAATTCCTGCAACATGGTTGAGTCACAGACTGCTATGCTTGCTAAGTTAGTTACTAATTAGTCCAAATATCATAAAACTATTAATTGTTTCAAAATTAAATAATTCTTTCAGGTTAAAGTTCCTTTTCTTTTTGGATTTTTCCCGAAATTTGAGCAAAAAAAGCATGAGAACCACTTCATCTATTATATACCACTTTGTATTATACTTGGCAGACTCAATAAACTGAGAGTTTCTACTATTTTCACTTGTTCTGATATTATTGATGGATTGTTCAGGTATGCAGCAATTTCAGGGTCGTCTCCTGCTGATAGAATCAGTTTAAAGCCAGTAATATTTTCAACTTTTAATGTTTTTATACATGCAGACCATGTTTCTTTCTTGTTTACCTTTTGGTTAGATGAACTATTTGGCTATGCCAAATTAATTGAAGTTACTACTTACTAGTATGCCTTCTTTTGCATATGATTTAATTGCTATTTCAATAGCTTGTCACCTTGGCCAATATTGAGTATTTTCAAGAATATAAACAGTCCATTTAGAAGCTTATAAAAAAGTTCTACCTACTGGGGGAATATGCATATTGGGGAGTCCACCATAGTTGGATAAAATAAGTCAAGCAACCAATCATGGATAACTTTTTAAATCTTCTGATTTCTTATGATATAGACTCCTTATTGACCTATTAATAATTATGCATGTGGAGTGGCCTGTAAATCTAAATGCTTTCAGAAATGCTTTTCCTCCCATAATAAAAAAAGGAACAAGACATAACTTGACCATATAATAGTATGCAAGGGATTCCATTATTATCTATCAAAAAAAAAGGATTCCATTATTCTACCATGAAAATTGTATGCAAGGGATTCCATTATTATCTATAAAAAAAGGGATTCCATTATTCTACCATGAAAATTGTAAAACTTAAAGTTTAAAAGGAACCCACAAGAGCCACCATTCTCCATTTAACCTCCTGAACTGTGGAGAAAAAAACTCAGAGACAACAGGAAAAATGTACAAAAAAAAAAAAAAAACTGCTTAGTCTCCAGAAACCAGAAGTGCTTCTAGTTTAAAATTCTAAAAATCAAGACTTTATTCATTGATGCTATGGATGGCTATCGATCAAATTTTTTAGATTTTACAGATTGCTCAAGATGAGAATATTACTTTATCATAGAAGAAATACAATAGGTGAAGATTGATCCACTATAATTTTAACCATCACATATTTGTGCATCCTAAACTATATTTTTCTTATCACTTCTTTTATGTGGACGCCAAAACCAACATTACACTTGAAAGAGCTTTTCTCTTTGTTAAATCCATAATATGCAACTAGAAAACCTAAAGCTCTTAAGAAAATTTCTGGACATGGACTTTAAAGTTGTAATACTCGATAGTTTAGCAGAATCAATTATAAATTCTTTTATTTGCATTTTGTTGTTTGCATTGTTTTATGCATCTACATTTAATTCTCTTTTCTTCTTCAACAACTATTCCATTATTTATATGACATAAGAGTATATCATTAGAAAATATTACTTAAAAACTGGAAGTATACCCCCAAATCCCACAGTCATATCCTTTTGGGTTAACCAAGTCCAACCCCTTGTACCCATATCAGATTCCCAATCTTGTTGTGCTGACATGGGGCCTTTTTATGGCTTTTATGCATTTCTAACCATTTACTTGTGATATGGCTTCTTTTATCATATTCCTTTCTAACATGTTAACATGCAACTCATGCATTGTATTTTGTTTCCACATCTTAAACACATTGAAATGCATTTAACTGCATGATGTAGGGCATGAATGAATGGCTTCTGATGAGAAACTTATGACTATTGATGACTGTAATGGCTTCTTGAAAGACAAAAAAGGAAAATAGAGAGAGGAAGAAGAGAGAGGATGGGAATCACTCACTAGGTACCTAGAATCCTCTCTGTATGTGCAGGGGTAATGTTGCGTACATCTGTCCCTCCCCAGACCCTGCATTAGCAGGAGCCTCATGCACTGGGCTGCCATTTTAGACTTGCAAGAATCCTAGTAGGAAATGAAAATAGAAACTTACTAAATTGCCACTATCCTATATCAATTGAAAGAAGACTTAATAATTCTTGAACTACTTATTTAATGGTTTAAACTTTAAATTTAAACCAACTATAACTAGACAAATCAAACTAATAGGCTGGATCCCACAAACATGTTAATATGACCAAAATACGCATACTGTCCAAAAAATGCAGAAATACATAAAAATTCAGAAAAATCCAATTTTGATTCTTCATCTTCTGCATCACTGTACCATGGATTTATTATTTTAAAGTTTTTATTGCACCACTTTTCTTTCTTTTTGAGCCATTGTTAAGGTAGTAGATTTTAGTATATTTTATTTTTCTACTGTAGTTTCATGGTTCTTCTATATTCAGAATTTTACCTCTTTAGAGACGGAATCTCCTGAAGGTAAAAACTCTACAAACACTCTGAAAGCAGGGGCATCTAGCTGCACATTGGGAACATCTCCCCATGAATTTAATATACATGTACTGGGAGATATTCTCGATGTGTGGCTGGATGCTGTGCTCTCGGTTTTTGCTTTCAGGAGAGCCGGGATCACCTCTTTGTGCACCCTTGTAAATGTTCAGAAACTTTTTATTAATTGCATACTGAATGAAGTAGCTTAAAAATCCTTATGAAGTCTTTCTTGTGGTTAGAGTTCTTTTACCTCTGTATAACATCTTTACTTGTAAGTGTTCATAAACTTTTTTTTTTGGTTTTCCATATCTATCTTAATAAAGCATGCCTTAAAATACTTGTAAACTTGTTTTTGTAGTCTCCACCTTGTTTGCCAAATTTATCATCGTATGATAGTTCATTTTCTTTGGGATCACTGCGACTGGGAAAGTATACAGAGGTATTGATCATTGAATTCCTTTACTTAGGTAAACCTAATTATCACATTAGATAAAATTTTACTATTATATGGTCTCTTTGGCAGTGGTTTAATGATGTATATTCAACCAATATCTCCAATAAGTGTTCAGATGTTCTGAATCTATTGTCAACAACTCATGGGTGTGAAGTAAGTATTCCTTACCATTTTGCAAGCAATGTTCATTTCTATGTACAAAAGCAATACTTATTTTCTGTCTTAGGCACAAAATTTTATTTCACTTCCAGGATCAAATGATCAACATGTGACTGATGTGAGCTCTAACATTCTATACCTAGATCCTAATATATATTTATTTACATTTGTGTTTGTGCAAGATAATAGATATTGTAATACCAGAGATACATGAAATGCGAACTGCACATGTTGTTTCCATTGGTTCTGAATCACTCTGTTCTTTGACTCCTGATTGTGAAGATGGGTATGTTTCCTTGTTAACAAATATTACTGCAAAGGCTTACCAATGTTACCATAATATTCCGGCTCTGGTGATTTGATTTAATTATGCTTTCCAAAATGCAAGCTAATGGTGCTCTCAGAAAATGTTTAGTAAGCAAAATCCAACTGTGAAGTTCACATATTTTGACAGTTTCTTCTCTGTTTTGCAGAAAAGGCACCAAATTGACTCATGATACTCGAACAAATTTGGCACTCTTCCGTTCATTCTCTGCATCAGACTATGTTGCTGCTCAATGCCTGAGGTATAGGATGATTATGCTTGTACATGTAAATCTGAAATATGTTGCTTATGTCATGTCTTTGTCTTGATTTGTTTACCCTATTGAATATTCAAACTTGTAATGGTTAATTACAGAGGGATTTTAATTTCCATACAAATTACAAGGAGATTTGTAACTGATAAAAAATATGATAGTTACCCTTACAAACTTGATTACCTTTTTTCAAAATTTGCTCTCAGACTCGAATCCATGACCTGGTGCTTGTCAGCCTGATATTTTACCATTAGACTAAACAATAGTCCTATAACTGTTCATTATAATATTTAAGAATTTTTGGTGGGTCCTGAAATGCACTGCTATTTTGTTCTCTCTGGAAAATTTCTTTTTTTAAAAAATTTTTGTGGGCTTCATCGTCTTTGATTTACATAACATGCTCTTGTTCCTTCTTTGCATCTTGATATAATATACATATTTTACCTTTTCTAAAAAATATATAATATACCTATTTTATATATGACTTGCAGAAATTGACCATAGTTTTTGTATGACACATTAAATTATCAAGTAATGTAAAACATTGAAATTCTCTCACCTTGGTAGGTTCTTGGGAAAGCTACAACAACATCTAACTATGAGTTCTGGTCTTCCATAATATAAATGTATTGTGATTATGTTTTCTTGATTGAATTTGTATAATCTGCACAAGAGTAGCAAACTAATTTTTATTTCTGACCTCGCCCTCTGAATACATGAAATCTGAAACCTTGGGTTGTTGGTTGTCTCAGCATTTTTGTTCTTGTTCAATTTAAGAGCTTTCTCCAGGCATAGTTGCCTCGGCATTCTTGTCTCTTAGGTGACACAGTATCAAAATTAATTGCAGTATGTGGGTAATGAGGATTCTAAATGTGACATTTCATTCATCTATGACATTTCCAAGCTTCTAATACAATCCTTAGGAAGATAACCTTTGACAAACTTGTATATATTTTTCTGCTTGAGATATCAGTTCCTAGTTCTTATAGGAATCTTATCAAGTAAGTGATCTATGACAATATGAATAATTATGATATTTAACAATGTTTGATTTATCTTTATTTTTTTCTCTAACTCATCTGTTTTGATTCAGGCGAAGGATGATGTATTATCATCTGGAGATCTTCAAGAAGGTTGATATCATTGTAACCCCAACGACTGGGTATGATTTTCTTAACTAGTAGCACAGAATTATGTTTCAGATTAGTACCTTTTCTTTTTTCAACTTTGGCCTGTCACTTGTGGAGGTTTTGTTATAATAATATGAGGGAGAAAGTAAGATATCTATGATGTAGACTTTCCATTCTGATGGAGCATTTGAATAGTTACCCCTTTCTGGCTCTCCTCCAAAATAATATTGTATATATTGTAGAACAAAAGATCCTAACTTGAATGACTGGTTTCTATTTAAAGTAGGTTGTCTTTCAACTATAACTTGCATATGAGAATTTTCTTGGAGCTAAAAGCAAGATGATGTGATTTGTTTTGTATAACAGTATGACAGCACCGATGATACCTCCAAGTTCTCTCAGCTCTGGGGAGACAAATTTACATGTTTCAGGTCAGTCAGTTGATAATATTAATCTGCAGTCTGAAGTCTGAAACTGGTTTATTCTCCATTGTTCTTAATTTTCCCATAGGAAGAAGCCCGTGTCTATCAGTCTGGTAGTTATGCTTCTGAAAATGGTGGGAAATGCGTCAAGAGTAATTATTGTAGGCTTCTGTTATCTTTATCTTGCTTGACATGATGGGGAATGCATCAAGATCAATGTGCAAAATCTGAATCATTTGAATATATGGTTTTTGAATATATGCTTCTTCTGACCACCTATTCTAAATTGTCAAGATTGCATCTGATCTATAAACTAGATATGATGTTCCTTGGTCTTTGGGGGTTAATTCGAGTTTTACAAGTGATGGACCTTTCTTATGCTATTTAACACATCAACTTGTACAATGAAATTCATGGCTGAATAGATATATCATCATTACTTTCAGGTTACCTCATGCGATTTGTAATAGCAGCAAATCTTCTTGGACTTCCTGCAATTTCTGTCCCTGTAAGTAAAATATATCCTTTCCTCTGATTTTGTAATGGTAGATATGGTTTTTATGATACATGTTGATATGTCATTTCCCGTAAAGAGAATTACTCAGTTGACCGGTGCAGAAAGACCACCCTAGACTTGGAAGGGGATGATCTAGTATTGGAATTAAAAGGTGAAAAGAAAATGGAAGTATGGGCAAACACCTGGGTGTAGGTTATTTGTTGATAATGCTTTCTGATAGTGAGAACTTCCTGTCAGGAACCTCTCCCTCCAGTTCCTAATTCAGTTAAATTATAGTCTTTCTCCTTAAGTCCAGCTGTTGAAAATTTATTAGTTCTTACTCCACATGTTCAGGCATTGATTAGATACTCGGTTTTTACTTATTGGTGGACTTTATGTAATCTAATTTGGGGCCTGTTTGGGAGGGCTTCAATGTTGATTGAGCTGCATTGATTGAAAGGCTTTGAAGAAGCTACCAAAACTAGCTTCACCGGAAAGTCGATTTCTCAGCTCAATGTAAGTGTTTTTGGGATTTCTAGGTTTTTCACCAAACATAGCTTTCATGGCTTAACATGTGGGTGCCACTTTGCAACGCCAAAAGCTGCTGTGTGAAAGCCCTCCCAAATAGGTACTTGATTCCAGAACCAGTACAATGAAGTAGGCTTATTTGTTGAATATACAATCTCAAAATATGGCTTTGTCAAAGGGGAATGAAGGAGAGCACCAATTCATGGAAGTGTAGTTTTGGTCTTTTTAAAGAACTTTATTGCATCTTTTTGAAATATCGCAACAATTTTCTCGATGAACATAAGGATTGAAATTTCGCAACATATCGGCCAGTATTGGCTGATACATATCGTATAAGTGACCCACTGATATGCCATCTTAAGTTGGGTTTCGGGAGTTGATCTGTTTCATGGGGGTAGACAGGCCTTATAGCAAGTAGCAACATCCTGAACATGCTTGAAAAAAAAAAAAGAAAAGAAATTAAGAAAAAAAGCGCCCAAAGATACAGGCCTATACGCCCCATTCTGTGTTTGGCATATTTGATATTTAGAACCTTGCATGAACATATCAATTTGTCTGTTGATATTCTCCCTATTCTCTGACATATTTGATATTTAGGTTGGCCACGATAAACAAGGTCTTCCAGTAGGCTTGCAACTGATAGGCCGTCCCTGGGGTGAAGCTTCCATCCTGCGTTTGGCTTCTGCAGTGGAGGTACTAGCTCTTATCTGAATTAGACAAGGGAAAATGGAAATTTGTAGAGCATATCTTCTGATCATGCTTTATTATCGGTTTTCATTTCATCAATGAATTGATAAATGCACAACATGGTTAAAACAACATTAACCCTTCATATTTTCAGGAACTCTGTGAGAAATCCAGGAAGAAGCCTGCAATATTTTATGATATTCTGAAGAAGTAGATTGTTCTTCTGCAACATATTACTTCTTGTCTTGGGTGTATCTGTTAGTTCTAGTTCAATGTGGAACATGTGGTTTATCCAGATGAGTCAGTCCTCCGTCATGCTTTAAAAACATTGGCTTGTCTGAACAAGTTCTGGAATCCATTAGAATAACAATGGCTGGAGTTACGAGGAGGAATAGAAAAAACAAATAAGCCTGCAAATTAATGGTGTTTTCTCCCTTTTAACTTGGGATGGTCAAGCTGAACTGAAACCTGATTGTAAGGTGATCCCTGTTGAATGATACTTCCGTAGTTCCATAGTGTATCTGGTACGACAAACTGATGCAAGTGAAGCACATGGGCTTTCTGATACATGAGAGTTTGGTTCTCATTCAGAAAAGGAAAAAGAAAAGAAAAGAAAAGCAAGAAACAAAATAAAAAGAAATGTTGGTCAAGCAGAACAGTAACTGTAACTGAGAATTTGTGGCCTTATTTTAGATAGGTCACTGTCCAATTCATTTGGATCCAGGGCCATTCACCGATCACCACCATGGTTTTAAAAAACGACCTGGAAACAGAACTGTTCTGGCCACCGGTTTCTGGGTTGACGGTCTGACCATCCGGTTCAAACGGATAGCATGTTCTGACAAAACAAAATAAAAAAAATGGCCAAAAACTGTTGAACAGGTCGACGGTTCAACTGCCCGGGTCAACAGGTTGTTGACTGATTCAACAGTTTTTGGCCAAGGACCGGGTTTGGAGTAAAATGGAACCGGTTGCCTAGACGGTTCCTAGGCCAGACGGTCGGACCATTCGGGTCAACGGCGGTTCGAATGCCATGATGACCACACTCTCAAGTAACGCCAACATAACAAGACTCTCAGCCGGTATATTGTTTGTTGAGCAAACGTGATGACTAATAGAAGGCAGGATCATCTATGGATTATTAGACTATTCCACATTCTTCGCATGAATCATGAATCCAACTTTCATCATTTAGACCAAACAAACACAAATTGCTGCTCTTTTAAAATTTAAGGGGTTGTTTGCCTGTATGGTTATATTTTATTTCAATTATTTGATCTGACGGATAGCATTATGTTAATATGTTTATCCAAATTTAAGATCTTAATAGTTATTAGCATAAACATGTGCCATGCACCTGTGGCACTTGCAATAAAAGGGTAAAAACCAAGAAAGATGAAAAGGCATTTGGAATTTAAAAATTTTCTACTGTAAGAAAACAGAAAATAGTTTTAATGTTTAAATCATAGACAAAGTGCCATTTGCTAGATGAGTATTAAATTTTGTTTTTTTTATTAATTTACTATTAATTGAAGCCATTCTAAACATTAAATTTTCAAATCAGTTGTCTTTTTTGTTTTCTAAAACAAAATCATTCATATTAACAAATACCCGCTTAATTGCTTCAAAATCCTGTCATTAAGCTATTGAAAATTTAATGACGTTGCTAAGATGTATAGTCTGTAGGGGTGACAAAGTAGAATTGCTCACACGCTATACCACATTACGATGATGCGTTAAGATTTGAAGTAATATGAGTTTTAATATAATGAGATTTATATTGGCTTCTTGAAAAAAATTAAAAAAAAAAAACTTCATTAACATATCACTCTTGGCATAGGCCATTAAAGTATGTAACTCTTATGCCTTTATAACTTTTTTAGTCTTTTAGATCTTAAGCTTGATTTGTTTGCAATATGGATTTCATTTACACTTATGTAGATGCATGGTAGTGCAAATGTATTGAGCATAAATTTAGTTTGATTTTGCTTTATATTTAACTTGACCTTAGTCATTTTGGAGTTATTTGTGAGAAGTTAAAGAAGTGATCCCCATTCTATATGAAAAAAAAATAATGGAATACAAATATGCACAAATACAAATACATACAAAACAATACAAAATACAATGTTTTGCATTCTACATATTCATATTTGTACTAAGCCTTTAACTTTTTTTTGATTTATAGGGTCCATGTTTGTTTTTGTTTTGAAGCCAGGGTCCACATTTACTGAAATTCCATGATCTAAGTGACCAATCACAGGTGAACACGTTGCGGGTCCTATGTGTATTAAAATACTGGCATGTTCACTTGTGATTGGTTGCTTAACCAGGTTCACACACTTGTGCTGCTGCATTAAATCTGGACTCATGCAAAATTGGTTGAGAGTTTTCACTTGTGTTACACTAAATGAATAACAACAAATGATCGATGAACTATTTGATGATGATGATTTATATATGGTGTATGCAATCAAATCAAGTTTTAATTGAACATTTTGAGCTCAAGATGGATTAGGCTCTAAGTTTAAATCTCAAGGTAAGTTTGATTAATTATTTAAATTCGAGTTCAATTAATAAAAAAATTGACTTGAAAGAAATAAAAAATATATATTTTTATATTATATGTAATAAAAATATTAAAGATATTAATTTTAAAATTTTTGAGTTGAACTCAAACTCATTAAAATTTAGTCAAATCAAATTCAAATTAGAAAAATGGTGATTCTCGAACATAGTAACATTTTAGTTGAAACGAATCAAAACATGCTGAAATTTGGCTACGTCCAATTCAACCACACCCTAGGTGTATCCAATGTCTTTGCCAGGATGGCGGGACCATCCAACTGTGTATTTATGATGCACTAGTTATACAACATGCGGCAGGTAATGAGGGCTAGGGCTCCAAGCCTCCCACCATGGCACACCCTTTTCTATGTTATTGATCGGGGTTTGCATTTTTTTCCACTCTAGAGTTCATACTCCAAAGTCCAAATCCTACCATTCACAAGTGCAAATATTCGAATCCATCTCTCATGCTGTGTGTAATGTCAAAATAATAATTTTTTAGTTGAGTCGAGTCAAGCTTCAGCTCGATTCAGTCAGTTACACCTAAGTGTATCCTATTTTCTTTGTTGGGACCATTTGTCATGGTGCACTAATTACTCAAACATGTGGCAAGGAATGAGGGCTCCAAGCCTCCAATTAACTACAGTGCATCTAGTTCAAAATATCAATACGCCAAAGGGGGTGCGTCCATATTTTTATCTTTAATTTCCCTGTTTTCTAAATTTTAATGGGTTTGAAAACTTTTTTTAATCCTAAAACTAACTTGTTAATACCCTGTTAACATATTATTATTAAAAAAACTCTATTGATACGATAGAGTATCATGTTAGACTCAGTTTGAAAAGAGTATAATATACAAATACATATAAAATAATACAAAAATATAAAGGTTTGCACTCTATATTTATATTTGTATTTGTACTCCTTTCCAACTGAGCATTAAACAAAATTTGATCCAGCATTTATATATTTATTTTGGGTAAATTACAAAGACCCCCTGTACTGTGGGGTTTGTGACAAAGACCCCTGGTACTATGACCATGAGACAAAGACTTCCCTAAGGGAATGCATTAAATTATTTCTTTTTTTTTTTGCTCTTTTTCTCTTAAAACCTATTTAACCTATTGCTTTCCTTTTCTTCTCTTCTTTTCCCCTCCTTCACCTTCTTCTTTCATTCTTTTTCTCTCCCAACTCTTAGAAATGAAAGGTGTAGAAAACCCATTTCTCATCTCTATGGCCGTTGTCGACAATGCCGCGATCATGGGAAAGCTCATCACCTCGCTTTGTAGGTGCCCTTCAAACTGGTCAAGCAACGACCCTGCATATGGACCGGCATTACCTGTGACAACGCCAATTGTCTAAAAGATGGGCTCCACGAGTACAGTCAAAGTCAGCAATTCCTCTGCTTCCCCAACAGTCAAAGTCATCTCCACCGACGGCAAGCTCCACGAGTACACATCCCCCGTTACGGTATCCCACTATCCCAGACCCTCGAAATGGAGACATCGCCGTGCTTCATCTGCAACTCCGACAAGCTTTTCTACGACTCCCTCATTCCACCCTTGCACCCCGCCCAGCAACTCCAGTCTGGACAGCTCTACTTTTTCCTCAACCTCACCCGGATGCACTACCGCCTGACGGCTTCCGACATGGCAGCATTGGCCGTGAAAGCCAGTACAACCCATTCTTACGGCTTCCGACTCAGAGATCTCTGCCAAGCGAACTGCTCAACAGAGATCTTTGTTGAAATGGACTCAAGAGTCATGTGCTTGAACATTTGAACAGCACACAAGCGAACTTGAACATTCTTGTTCAGGCGAACTATTGAACTAGAGATCCAGTTCAAACTCCGCGAGTACACATCCCCCGTTACGGTATCCCACTATCCCAGGCCCTCGAAATGGAGACGTCGTCGTGCTTCATCTGAAACTCCGACAAGCTTTTCTACGACTCCCTCATTCCACCCTTGCACCCCGCCCAACAACTCCAGTCTGGACAGCTCTACTTCGTCCTCCCCCTCACCCGGATGCACTACCGCCTGACGGCTTCTGACATGGCAGCATTGGCCGTGAAAGCCAGTGCTGCCCATTCTTACGGCTCCCGGAGATCTCTGCCAAGCTAACTGTTCAACATCGTCCCAGAGATCTCTGGCTGTTGAAATGGGCTTATCGTCCCAGAGATCTCTGCCAAGCGAACTATTCAACAGAGATATCTGTTGAACAGAGATCTTTGTTGAAATGGACTCAAGAGTCGTGTGCTTGAACATTTCATTCAAGCGAGCTGTTTCCCATATGGGGATTACCGCCGTTGCTGTTTGTGTACACTGGGGTCGGGGAAGATCAACAGTATTTTTTTATCCGAATAGTTATTATAAGGGGTAATATGGGGATTAGAAAATATTGTAACGGCCTTTTTGGATGAAGGCTAATGGAAATGGGTCTTTGTCTCACGGTTATAGTACGGGGGCTTTTGTTGCAAAATAAGGTATAGGGGTATTTGTGGTAGACCCATAGTAGAGGGGGTCTTTGTAATTTACCCTATTTACTTTTGGATAAATTTCTTAAATTATCCTTATGGTTTAGTTAATTGACTAAGTGTACCCTTACTGTTGAAAAGTGACTAACATTACCCTTAATGTTTTTGACAATTGACTAACTCTACCCTTATCATTAACATCCGTTAAAATCCGTGCGCACATGATATCACGTGATATTTAAAAATTTTTAAAACCCAAAGCTACCCTTGTCTCCTTCCTCTTGACCCGACACACCCTTCATCCTCTAACCTCTCTCCCTTCCCTCTATCTTCCTCCCACGGTCTTCGTCAACCTTTTTCTTATGCTTTTGGTTCTTCAACCCCTCCTCGCAATGGCGAAAATCTCCTAAACTGGAAAAGAGAGAAGACAGGCTTCTTCATCTTCGTAAGACAGTAAGTTGATTCGTCTTTGTCTTCTCAAGTGCCAGTCCTTTTTCTGTTTCCTGTGATTTCTCACGTTCGATCTCCCTCAATTATCTTTCCTAGTTAATGCTCTAGATCTAGGGTTTTTTTGTAGAGCGTAAAATTTTAGGGTTTTGGTTTTATAAGAACTCATTGAACTTGAACTCAAGATTTACCAAGATAGAGAGAGGTGGAGAAGTAGCTTCCGGTTTCTTGGAATCTGCAATCGGAGTTGCCACAGGGTGTGGTGGTTCGCTACCGATGCCTTCTCAGTCTGCAAGGAAGGAATGGCGCACCATTTTCGACCATCATTCCGTCCGAAGTGCCGAAAATGAGGTAAGGATACCTTCTATTCCAAGCTAGTCCTCTTCCTTTCTACCTCTCCTTGTCTCCTATTTGTACTCTTGTTCTTTGGCGGTTGGTTAATAGAACGTAACTACTGGACAGGAGTTGGAACAGTCAAAAATGGGGCAATCCGATGAGAGAACGATATATGAGGTAAGACTCATTTTCCAACCAAGAGCAGGGCCACTTGATGTCTACTTTTGTTCAATTACCATGGATGGAGGTATAGATAGTGACATATTGCAACAACGTCTTCATAATGTCTCCAGACGGAGGGAGGACCTGCAACAGATGGAAATCAAGCTTAGAGCTCAGCTAATAGCTAGATCCGAGATAATGAAAATGCAGAACAACTTTGATGCACAGATCAAAAAACACGCTAATATTACCGCTAAACTAAAGGTTTCAGTTCTTATTTCTGTTATTAAATCAAAATTTCCATCTAATGTACTCCCTTCTCAACTGTACCACTCAATCTCAATTTGAGTTGTATCCAGTAGCGGGAGTTACAGGATTGTCTTAGATAGCACTATCATGCAACTCCACCCAGCAACAGGAGTTACATGGCTGTCTTAGAGATCTATTTGTAGGCATTTTCACACGTTTTGACGAAAGTTAACGATGTCAATTGTGAGAAATAACATGTAGCCTCAATCAATTTTCAAATAATAAGGGTATAGTTAATAAATTAGTTATAAGGATAGTTTAAGAAATTTACCCTTTTTCGGGTAAAATCAATCCCGTGTCCAGCCTACCGTTTCACAAGGGAAGATTCCAATCCATCGGTCGTACTGCGTTTGTGTAATGTTGAGCCTGGACACTTCTTTCTGTTCCCGACACGAAATATTCCAAGTCCCAGATCGTCCGAGTCCATCCCGTCCCGCGTAGGTGGAAGATTTTTTAGCTTGCTAGTTGCTACTTGCTACTTTGCTAGCTGCAACGGCAAGGCAGCGGTGGCGGCAAATCGGCCACCATAATACTTCTTTCTGAGAAATTTTAGTGAATTGTGGTTTTGCGGCGATCACTGAACCCGCAGAAACACAGCCATGGTGAAAGCTGTGGTTGGTGAAGAGACCCAACTCAACCTAGCTGAGGATCGTCTCTTCCAATCTGAAGTTCCTGCACAGGTACCCCCTCGGCCAATTTTTCCCTTGTTTAGAGCTGTTTGATGCTTCATTCAGTGAGGACCCTGATATGGATTTCCATGTTCATAGGTGGGGCTCGTTGTAGGAAAACTTAGTTCTGGTTTAGACCGAGGATTCGTGTTCGATTTGATTCTGACACCACCCAATGATAGCGGAGCGCCCGCTTGTTCGGTACCCGAGAGTGGAAAGGACGATAAGAAGAAGGGTTCGAAGGGAAAATCTCAAGTCGAACCTTCGTCTTTACTGATCGATATAGATTGGGTTGCTGAACATGCTCGTCAGGTACAATTGGAGTAGCACTTAATTTCTCTTTTGGCTTTCGATTTGTTGGTTCGGTTATTGGATCATGTTTTGCATTGTGCTGTTCAATTATTGCATTGACAATCCCTTTTTCCGACATTCGTAGACAACAAATAAGTTGCTGGAAAAAAAATCCAAGTAGGTTCTCGAATTAACTTCTGCTACATTCACGGAGAACTGCCTCTGTTACATATAATTGAACAGTTTCTTTTAGCATTAGTTGTATTCAACTACAGTATATCGGTCCTTGCCAATATTAACTGTGAAGGGATGAAATTTTCATCCTGCACATCGAGGTTGAATGTCTCGGAGACGTGAAAAATAATTCCCCAATTAAAATTTCTTGCGAACTCATTTTATGTTTCATGATCCCCAACGGTATTTCTGTTCTTAAAACTCAATAACATTTTATGTTTATAGCTGGGAATGATTATATCGTGCTTATTGATAAAAAAGAAAAGAAATGAAAGACAACTACATGGTGCTTAATTTTTTGATCATGAGATTAATTGCTTTCAGGTCTCCAGAATGTTACTAGGTGGCATGAATGTGGTTGGGATCTATGTATGGGCTACTGAGAGTTTATTCAAGGCATCAAATGTTATAATTTGGCAGGTAAACTTATAAGTTGAAATGTTAGAGCATTGACATTTTAAAAATTCACTATGGTGTACGATTGTCGTTATAAGAACTTAACATTTAATATGCCAGCATAATTCTTCATTGGTAAATGCATAGGGTAGTCTGATACACCATCTGCAAAAAAATAAAAAGCCATTTTGGATTTGTTTGTTGGACTTGGTTGGTCAACCATGCAAAATGATATGTCAATGGAGGAAAAAAATGACCATCTTTCTATCCCATTTTAATTACGTTCTTGATTTTCTTTCAAATATTCCACTTATATGTGCTTTTACTTTATTATAATGTGTATTTGGTTAAAACAAGATTTATATATCCAACTCCAACCCCATATAGTTGGGATAAGGTCTGATGATGATGATGATCTGGTTACAACGTATTTGTATGAATTAGTTATAATTTTATAGCAGGTTCATTACCTATGTGTCCCCTCAAATGCATTGTTATATCATTACTGCTTCTAGAGCACCAACTAATGGGAACCATATCTACTTGGCCCTTCAAGGGGTGGTGGACAATACCTTCCCATACTGTAAAGAAAAGAAGCTCTGATAGATGAGATTTTGACCATTGTCAACTTATATATAGACATTTGTGCTACACTGCCACTATTATTGTAGACTTTTGACCCACTTCATTGCTTTCTTTAACTAGGAATCATCATCATTGTCATCCATACATTACAGCATTATCCCAACTATATGGGGTTGGCTACATGAATCTTGTTTTGCCAATCTATTCTATTTAAAGACAGACATATAGTATCCTAAAGAACCTCTAAGAGTAAGAGCTAGTTATGCTGGTAGGTAACACTTTCTGTAGGGAATACATCCTCTGGGACACGACAAACTTTCTTTACGTTAGTACCTATGGAAAAATTGCAATTTGTGCATCTTTGAAAGGAAAAGTTCCTCCTTTTCCTGATGCCCTAATAGGGCAAAATTGAGAGTCAAATAGTGTGGTGGACATTGATATTATAGGGTTTCTAAGCCTAGCTTCAACCACTTCCATAGTTCCATTATCAATGGAACTCACTTATTTTGAATTTTCATTTTATGTTTTAAGGCTTAAACCTTATGTTGTGTACCTGATTTAATCTTATTAACCATGTAAGTTCCTGGTATATGGGACTTGGGCCCTATACTTTTTTGACCCACTATAGCTAATACAATCTTTAGCCTTTCTTTTTTTCTTTGAGAAATTAAAGTATCATGTATTAATAAAAAAAGTACAAAGTATTGCAATTACAAGTGTAATCCATGTATAACCATGAGTTGTATACAGGGCTCCATGTCAGCTAGATAATAAAATGAGCTGCATATGATGCATATAGAATAAGTTGTAATTAAAGAATTAAGAGTAAGGAATGTCCCAGAATTCTTTGATAAACAAGAAACATGAGCATGCTCTTCCAATGGTCTTGCTAAATACCATTTAATTCCCAAGTAAGTTGATCTGGAACTCCTTAGTCCCCTCCAAAATAGCCTTTTTTGTATGGTTGGTGGCTCTTTGGAAGTGTCCTTTATGGCAAGATGTTCCCGATGTACAGTTGCAATGGTTGTTGGGACCAGATCTAGACTCCTAGATAAGCTGTCCTTGGTAAGACACAAAGAAACTCTAGGATCTTCTCTGAAGTAGAGAGGTGCTGAAGAATTGAGAGAAATGATCCATATAAGGGTTGTACAGTGGCTGAAATTCTCAGAGCTGTTCACAGATTACACAGTGGATGACATGTTGAGGAAGTGGGGTGAGATTGCTAATTGCACCCAGACTAAAACAGTAATGAGTGTCTTGGACCCCCCACCTGCTGGTTTCTTAAAACTAAACTTTGACGGGAGTAGTAGAGGGAATCCTGGACACTCGGGGATTGGGGGTGTGTTTAGGGATGAGAATGGGATTGTTTCAGCCCTGTTCTTAGGCCCAATTAGAGTGGGTAACTTGTAATTCTTTCTGGATAGAGAGAGATGAGAGAGAAGATAAGAGAGAGGAGAAGAAAAGGGAGAGAGAGAGAGAGAGATTCGATTGGGAATCAAAACTATAGCTAGCGGCGCCCAACTTATCATTTATATTAACTTAATATAAAGAGTAAGAAAAAATACAATTATGCCCCTAGCGGCACTCCCTACTAACAAACAAATAAGAAGAAAATAAAAGACACTGGCTGACAACATGCCACCAACAACTGTAAAATAACAAAATACACAACTCTCACAACACTCCCCCTCAAGTTGGGCTGAATATGTCTATCATGCCTAGCTTGTCACATAACTCATTGTGTTGAGAGTATGAAAGTCCTTTTGTGAGGATATCAACAAGTTGTTTCTTGGAGTTGACATAAGGGATGCAAATTTCACTTTTTTCCAATTTTTCCCTTATGAAGTATTTGTCCACTTTAATGTGCTTGATCCTCTCACGTAGGACATGATTGCTGGCGATGTTTATGGCTGCCTTGTTGTCACAGTAAAGAGACATAGGATTATGAACAACAACTCCAAGCTCCCCTAGAAGGTTCTTTAGCTAAAGAACTTCAGCCACCCCATGTGCCATAACTCTATATTCCGCTTCAGCACTTGACCTTGCTACCACACTTTGTTTCTTGCTTTTCCAGGTCAATAGATTTCCTCCCACAAATGTGCAATACCCACTTGAGGACTTTCTGTCATCCACAACACCTGCTCAATCAGCATTTGTAAAGACTTCCACCTTTAGGTGATTATGTTTATTGAATAGTAGACCTGTCCCTGGATACTTTTTTAAGTATCTAAGGACTCTCTCTGCTGCCTCCATGTGTGGTTTCTTAGGAGAGTGCATGAATTGGCTCAGGACCCCCAACTGAATAGGCAATGTTCGGACGGGTCATGGACAAATAAATCAACTTTCCCACTAACCTTTGGAACTGTTTCACATCTTTCAGAGACTCACCATTACAGTTACCCAATTTATGATCAACATCCGTAGGAGTATCTATTGGCCTTGCGCCTAACTTGCTTGTGCCTTGTAACAGATCAAGGGTTTACTTTCTTTGAGAAATGAAGATGCCATTTTTTGAGCGGGCAACTTCAATTCCAAGAAAATACTTTGAGGGACCTCACTTCAAATTTAGATGCAAGGAATTGTTTCAACTTTTGTATTTCTGAACTTCAATTTCCTATAATGATGATATCATCCACATACACTACCAATACAACAACCCGTTCTCGATATCTCTTCACAAGGAGTGTGTGATCAGACTGACATTGCTTGAACCCTACTTGTTGAACTGCCATATGAAACTTACTGAACCAAGCCCTGGGAGATTGTTTTAAACCATAAAGAGACTTTCTCAGCTTGCACACCTTATTTTCACTTTTCTTGGCATAGAATCTAGGGGGTTGAACCATGTACACTTCCTCCTCTAGGTCACCATTTAAAAAGGCATTCTTTATGTCCAGTTAATGCAATTCCCAGTCAAGGTTAGCAGCTAATGATAGAAGAACTCGAATTGAGTTCATCTTAGCTACTGCAACAAATGTCTCGTCGTAGTCAACCCCGTACACTTGAGTGTTCCCCTTGGCTACTAATCTTGCTTTGTACCTTTCAGCTGTCCCGTTCGCTCTATGTTTAACTGTAAGCACCCACTTACACCCCACGGGGTCTTTCCCCCTTGGAAGATCCACCAATTCCCAAGTTTGATTTTTATGGAGGGCATTAATCTCCTCCTTCATAGCATCTGTTTGTTCAGAGTATTTTAAGGCCTCTATAACATTTCTGGGTACAGGGATGCAATCAACTACAAATAGGAATGCTCGGTATGAGGGGGAAATGTGATTATAGGAGACATACTGGGTAATGAGGGGGAAATGTTTGGTAGTGCATGACCTAACTCCCTTTCTTTGAGCAATAGGAATGTCAAGGTCATCCAAGTAGGTGTAGGGGTATCAATAGGTGCAACAGGGTTTGGACTTACCTCCTAGGAGTCTGACAGTGTCGGTTGCTCAATGTTTGGTAGCTCCACATCTCTGTTACATTGCTGACCTCTACGGCATGTACGTTGGAAGACATGAAAGGGGGCAAGGTCCGAAATAGAAGGAAGAGAGACTTGGTGGACCTGAACCTACTACTCTTCCACACTACTCTCCTCCTTTGGAGAAGCGGGGAAGAACAGTTCAGACTCAAAAAAAAGACACATCCATAGAGACAAAACACTTATGAATAACGGGATCAAAGCACCGGTACCCTTTCTGGGAATTGCATCAAGTTTTCACCACCCATACCAGCTGTGTAACCCCAAATGATGCTGGATCATCGTTTTCCATTGAGGGAGAGGGTCTACAGTACAAAAAAACAGAACCACAAGTGTACCAGACCTGATCCCACACAATCAGAATGCTAAACCCCCAAGAATTCTACTTCTGGAATGAGAAAAAAAACACTGATGAAATCAGTCCAGCAATAGTTCCACCATTAGAACAGCCCAGTAATTAGTCTAATTCCACTACAGCAACCAGTAATCAGTCTAGTAATGGTTCGGCCATTAGAACAGCCCAGTAATCAGTCACAGTTCAACTACAGCACATACTCCTGTCTGTGATAAAAAAAAACACCATACTCCTGTCTAACACCTGTATGAAGGTGTAAATCAAAAAACCAAGGCCTTCACTGCATTGGTCACAGAGAAAAACCTCTCCAGCACCTGTTTGAAGGTGCAAACCCAGAAACCAATTCTTACTGCATCGAACAACCTTCACAGCATTGAACAAGGAGAAGAGTGGTGTTTACAGCGTCACCCTTCTTCTACTAGGGCTTCCTTGGTGTTACGACCAAGGAGGACCCCAAAGAAAGCAGCGGCAAGTGGCCTGATCAGTCCGATTAGGTTTCTTTGTCCTCCACACGTCCAAGAGATCAAGAGAGAAAGAAACGAAAAAACTGAGAAAGATTCTTTATTGCCCAGAACCTTGCTCTGATACCATGTAATTCTTTCTGGATAGAGAAAGACGAGAGAGAAGAGAAGAGAGAGGAGAGGAGAAGAGAAGGGAGAGAGAGAGATTCGATTGGGAATCAAAACTATAGCTGGCGGCTCCCAGCTTATCATATATATTAACTTAATATAAAGAATAAGAAAAAAATACAATTATGCTCCTGGCGGCACTCCGTACTAACAAACAAAAAAGAAGAAAATAAAACACTGGCTGACAGCATGCTACCAACAACTGTAAAATAACAAAATAAACAACTCTCACAACATGACTCTCTCAGAGCCGAGATCTATGCAGTTATGGAAGGAGTCCAGAGAGCTAAGGAGATGAATATAAGAAAAATCATAATTGAAGGGGACTTGGAGGTGGTGATAGGGTGGCTGAATAAAGACAACAGTGGGTTATGGAATTACAGCAATGAGAGGAGGAAATTTAGGTGGCTGGTTCAAGAGATGGAAGTCGAGATTAGTTGGGTGAAAAGATCAGCTAACTCTTTTGCTGATGGGTTAGCTAAACAAGGGGTGGAGAGGGAGTCAATATTTTGGGCCCAGGTGTAACTCTTTTTCTTTTTTTTTTCCTTTATTGGGGGCTCAAGCTTCAGTTGGAAGATAAGAAAGTTTATCTTCCCCTTTGTAATTATTTCTGTGATTAATTAATGAAATGTGTTATTGATAAAAAAAAATTGATGGAGTTAAGCATTAATAAAAGGAGATATTGGGTGTTCATAAGTCAACTTGTAGTGATACCCTTTTTTCTTTTCTTAATTGATTTGCATAATTTGCCTTCCATCCTCAACTTTTCACTAGATCAATCAGTTATATCCATTAGACAAGCATGCTAAATAGGAAGTTTGATGTGGACAAGCAAGCAAGATATAAGCAGTACTTAAAAAAAACAACAGTAGGCTAGGAATAACAAATGTAGAAGGAACAAGATAGATTAGATGTCATAAATCTCTGAACATAACCTGATGAAGAGCTCCTCTAGAACAAGTCTGCTACAGTAGCAAAGGCGTCAAGCTGACCTCTCACGTAGACACATAGTGATGGAGGGATTGGAAGGTGACTAAAGGGGTTGAGTCCTCAAAGCCTAGCTTCCAAAACTTGAGACAACAGCTTTTACAAGAGAGACATTTTTTCAGCCAAAAGAAAATCAAAGACCACCATTGACACAGCTCCTTTCTTTATAAGACCCATAGGCTTGCTGGGGAAGCCATCTAGGATATTTACACATAAGCCCCTAGAGTGTCACCTCTTCACAAGCAACTCCTCAAGAATAAAAGTAACTTCAAACAACCCTCAAAGTAACTTTAGTTATAAAAATGCTTAAGGGACCAAAACTCAACAGAGGTGCATGTGCACCCAACTGCCCCTGACCAGAACCCAAATTATGAAACGACCAAAATATCTCTGAACCCAAACTGAATAAAGAAAATACCCAAAACAACTATTTGGGAACCGACTACAAAATAAGTTCAGAACATATTTACATCTTTATTTTATTTTATTTTTTTGGGTGCTTATCAAAGTTCCTGTCCACATGATTCTTGCAGACAGTCAAGGAAGTTGCAGAAGCAGCACCTTTTTATGAAAGTAAAGTGGATGAAAGGCTTCTTATTCACATTTCTTATAGTCCAAGGAGGTATATCCACTGATCAACTGGCAATTATTTTTATTTCAAGCAAATATTTACAACCAAATAATGTCTTCGTTCTTATCAAAATACCAACATAGAATAGTTGAACAGGTGGATCTGTAGAAATTGCACGGTGGGTTCAAGTATTACATCAAGCAGCTTACGACCTTGTGATTTCAAGATGGGAAGGGTATTATCTTCCCTCCAAACATTTAAATGCATGTACAACTTTGAAATAAGGTACATTCATATCTGCATTTGTTTTTCATTTCTGTGCTAGTGTGAATGATCCTGTATCTGTGACCATTTTTCATTTCTGTGCATCCAACTGCCCCTGACCAGAACCCAAATGTCCTCACGAAAAGCAATGGAAGCCCAAATTTTGTGGTACATATGGGATTATCCAAATAATGTGGAATAGTCAAAAGACTGATTGTGTGGGATCTTATTGAACTGCTCTTTCGCTGCTATCCATGTATGAAGATAAGCCCTTGCCTGCTGACACAACTCATCCAATACCTTGCTTCTCCCTTCAAAAACGCTCTTGTTCCTCTCCTTCCAAAATACCCAACATATTGCTGACGGGATTGTGCCTCCAAAGCAGTTTTCCCTTCTTATTTAAACCCACAATCTTCCAGGATTTCACCATGTCAGAAAGGCTTTTAGGCTGACACCAACACAAGTTCAACCTCTTGTGAAAATAGTTGTATAAGGACAACTACTTCACATTGCACAAAGAGATGGGCAATTGACTCTGTCTCTTGACCACACAAACCACAGTCCATAGAATCCAGCACCAAGTCTTTCCTGCTTTATTGTTCTTTCGATAGACATTTGCCCTTCACAGCTCTTCACATGAAGAAGCTTACCTTGGTTGGGACTTGAGGAAGCCAAATGTCCCTCCAGGGGAAGTCCCGTGGGAGAGGGGGCTCTGTATTCAAGTAGAGGGATTTCATAGAAAATTTGCCATCTCTGCTCCATCTCCAAAATCTTTCATCTTGAAGGTCTTGGGCCGGTTTGTGATTTTCAAGCAGAAGCAGTTGCAACAAACTCAACAGATCTGAAATTTCCCAATCATTTAACTGATGCTTAAAAGTAAGATTATGTTTGGATAAAGTACTTTTGTACTTTTAAAAGTACAAAAAACACTATATCACGTTTGTTTCAAGTGTTTTCTACTTTTGATTTCATACTTTTATAAAGTATGAAAAACACCAAAAGCACTAGGCTTTTCATACTTTGTGCTTTTGGCTCAAATGTATTTTTGGTCTTCTGTGAAGCAATGTCACATGTGATTGTTAAGTGACTGCTTATGTGTCACTGTTGTACATGTGACTGTCACGTGGTAGCTCCAGGCCATTCAAGTGTCATCGTTATGTGACTGCCACATGTCACTATTATACATATGTCATTGACATGTGTTGTTGTTTTCTGATTGCCACATGTCACATGCATGTGTCATTATTTTTTGGTTGCCACATGTCACTGACATGTGTCACTATTTTTTGATTGCCATGTGTCACATAACAACACAAGTTGACACGTGTCACTACTATTACATGTGTCACTGGCATGTCATTATTTTCTGACTACCATGTGTTACATAACAGCACAAGTTGACACATGTCACTATTATGTGATTGCTGCATGTCACTATTGTACATGTGTCATTGACACATGTCATTGTTTTAAGGCTGCCACGTTTCACACGATGACACACATTGGCATGTGTCACCATTATGTGACTTCCACATGACAATATAATATAGCCACATATTACATAACAACACAAGTTGACATGTGTCACCGTTATGTCTATCACATGTCACTATTATACATGTGTCACTAACATGTGACAGTCACGTGTCACATGTATTTACTATTATATTTTTGCCAAATGGTAAATGATGCTTTTATTTTGAAAAGCATAGTTTACAAATTTTTTTGTAAACGGATTTGAAAGTAAAAATACAAACGAAAAAGATATGCAAGGTTCAAAATATCAATACACCTGATACGCCCGTAGAGGCGTATCCCGAAACACCCCCTGTAGGGGCGTATTGGGAATCCCCCAATACGGCCCGATATGTATCGATATTTTGAACCTTGATTATATCTTGATTATATGTACTTTGTACTTTGATGCTTTTAGAAGTATCAAAGTAAAAGTCTACCCAAACGTAGCCTAAGACTCCAACTTCTAACACCTCCAAACCCAGTCAAACAGCTCAACTATTTTAGCATCTCTGTTTTCTGCTATCAGGAATGAGGAGGGATATTCCTCCATCGAGGGTCTGTCACTGCACCAAGCATCTTGCTAGAAACGAATCCTCCTTCCATCTCCCACTTTTAGTTTTACTCCACAGATAAACTTTGGATGGACTTTCTCAATTCCCTTCCAAACTAAACAACCAAAACTTGAAGTAGTACTGCCCGGATCCCAACCTTCTCTACTTAAGTCAAATTTATCTACTATTATAGTTCTCCGTAAGCTCTGTGGCTGAGTTTTAAACAACCAAAACCACCTGCCCGGCACGGTTTTGTTTGGCTACCTTAGTCTCTTTACACCCAAACCGCACGTGGCCAAAGGATTGCAGACAAATTCCCAACTTCATGGATTTTTTGCTCACCTTCCTTACCACACCATAGAAAGTTCTTCTTTAGCATTTTTAGCATGTCTGCTACCTGGGTTGGAATAGGGAATAAAGATAGGTAATGTATTGGAAGGTTTTCCAGCGAGCTTTTTAACAAAGTTACCTTAGCTCCTTTAGATAAAAAATTTGCTTTCTATGCGGCTAACTTCTTCTCCAATCTTTCCACTACTGGTTCTCATATGGCTTTAGAGGTACATTTCGCCCCAATAGGAAGATCCAAATACCTTGTGGGAAGCTTTTCTACTTTATGATCCAACTCAGTAGCAAGGTCTTGTATATTTTGAACTTTACCTATGAGAAAAATTTCACTTTTTTGAAGGTTAATGCGTAAACCTGACACCGCTGCAAACCAGGCCATAATCATTCAAAGATGCACCATATTCTCCTTTCTGGCTTGAAGGAAAAATAAAGTGTCATCAACATACTGTAGTAAGGCTACCTCAGTATCCCCATGACAAACTTCGAAACCTTCCAAGTAACCACCTTCCAAAGCCTTGCTTGTCAACCTTGCTAAAGCCTCCACGACACATAAGAATAACAGGGGGGACAGAGGGTCTCCTTGTCTTAGTCCCCTAGAGCTCTTAAAGAAATAAACTGAAACTCCATTAAAGAGTATAGAGAACTTTGTAGGTGAGTACAAACCTTGATCCAGTTCTGCAACTTCTGACCAAAATTCATTTTTTTTTCAGGGCCTTATCAAGAAAGTTCCAATTTACTCGGTCACAGGCTTTCTCCAGATCCATGTTACAAACTACTCCAAGACTTCCCAGTTCCCTCTTTTATCTTTGATTCTATTAATTCGTGTGCAATAACCACACCTTCCAATGTCAACCTCTTGGGATGAAGGCACCCTGTGAGGCTGAAATAATACCCGATAGAACTTTCTTCAACCTGTTTGCAAGTGTCTTTGCTAAAATTTTATAAAAACTGCCCACCTAGCTTATAGGTTTGAAATCTGTAGAGCAGCATTTTCATGGAATTCCTTCAAAACATTCATAACACCAGACTTCAAAAAATTCCAGCACTTCTTAGAGAATAGCATTGTAAAACTATCATGCCCAGGTGTTTTATCTCCTTGCAAACCCACAATTACCTCCCACTCCTCCTCCTCTGAAAAGGTTTTTCAAGTTGAAGTTTCTGAACTTCTAAGTTAGAATCAACATGAATCCCATCAAGGCCTGGTTGGCATTTCCATTCTTCCTTACGTAAGTTATTCAGCAACCCATTCCTAAGGACTAACTCACCTTCCACCTATCTGCCATTCGCTAGACACAAAGAATCAGTCCAACTGCACCAAAGTGGGGTCTTCCTGATTGTTTGTCGTGGTAAATATGGCACCAGACAGTGGTAAGTCCACCAAGCTGTTTCCATTTACAAAGTCCGCAAAAGGCCTCATCCCTGTAGAATTGCGGACATTCCCATTTTTTTCATGTGCAAATCTGATGATGTTGAAGTCTCTTCCTATGCACCAGGGAATGGACCAATTTCCTCTTATCTAGTTGAGCTCTTCCCAGAAAACTAATCTCAAAGAGTCATCATTGGGTCCATACACGCCTGTGCCAATTCCCTGGAACCCATCTTTTCCAGAAACTTCAATCGAGGCTGAGAACTCCCCTATTAAGTGGTTGTGAACTTGTAAGTTTCTGAGTTCCAAATCACCAAAATCCCTCCTGTCCTCTCAGCGTTTAAGCATCTCCTTCCACATTGGCCCTCTCCCCAGAGATACTCTTTACAACTGCTGCCTCCTGAAAAAAATGGAATTATTATTTATATAAAAATACTAAATAAATAAAAATTTTCAAAAAAAAGTTGAAAATTGTAATTATAAAAACTGAAATAGTGATAATTATTGTATGATGTATACATGTTCTAGGGTCACGATATTGTTGATTGTAATGTTTCTCTTCATATAACCTGTTAAATTGTGCATTTCTCAAGTGTTTATACCTTATTAAAAAATAATTCAACATTGGATAATGTTTTAATGTATTTATGTGATTTGTATGCATTTCCCTAGTGTATCTAAGCATTTCCATATCTTCCGTCCATATCCATGCGTTTCCAAAGTGTATCCATATCTATATCCAAACTATCAGATATGATACTCGATGTTGATACTTTGATCCTTGTGGACAAGCTTTTTTTTTTTTTTATTATTATTTTTAACTTTAGGCTGTGGGATACAAAAGTGAGCCAAAAAAAAGTTTCAAGCATTTGGTAAGAAATGCTTTTGAAAACATAACAATCTGAAGTCAAAACACTTTTAAGCTCCACAGCACAAAGCCTATTTTGGGCTTTGGGATTTTGTGCTTTAAATCCAAACACAACCTAAAATTAAATTTGAGCATTTGGTTAGATATGCTTTAGGCTGAGGGAAACAAAAACAAGCCAAAAAGTGTTTCAAGTGTTTGGTAAGAAATACTTTGAAAAACATAACAATCTAAAGTCAAAATACTTTTAAGCCCCAAAAGTGTTTCGAGTGGCAACTAAGCTAGATTGTTTCTTTTTTTTAACCAAACTAGATTTTCTCATGGTATGGTTTCTTTTAGCAAACCAATTAGTCCAAGTGAAAGAAAATGTACTTGCTTTTTGTACCTGTGAGAGAACTTATGCAGTTGTATCCTAATGTTTCTTTTCTATTCTATTTTTTCTCTCTAGGAATTCTTATATAATGCTTAATATTTCTTTTATAACATACAAAATGCAAGCTCATATGCTTTCAATGCTGAAGCTGATAATTGTTTTCTTTTCAACATTTAGTGGAAAAAATTGCATATGCACTCAAAATGTTTCATGACATTTTGTACATTTTTCAATGTTCTTTTGAAGTCCTCACTTCACTCTGGAATATTTATTTTTTGAATCATGATGGGGTTCCACTCTCATAATGGTCATTATGTTTTTCTAGACTGCCCATATTTCATGACAGTCCATCAAATGTTGGCACATTTAGAGAAGTTCTCTGCAACAGAATTTTGCAACATGCCAAAGAGCTGGGAGGTGCAAAGGCCTTAATTAATGGGAACTTGGTAAAAACACTCTTCTATGTGGATTTAAGAAGTTTATTAGGTTTACTATTTCTAGGTACCTATTGTGTTAATGCTAAAAATAAGAAATGCTCATATTATGGATATATCTTTAATATTTAACTTGAATAAAAAACTAATTTCTTCATGACAATTTGTAGAAATGTGGTGAGATTCCTCACAAAGGTGATTTGTAGTTTGCAAGGGACATGGCATTTTAATTTGATGTTTTCTTGCATTGTCCTTGTGTGTGACAAGATGTGAAGCTAGAATCTTCTGAAAATTAGTTACTTTTTTTACAATGTTTTGTCTTCTCATCCTTATTTAATTCAAACTTTTGAAAAAGATAGAAACTATTGAAGCTTATGGAAGTTTTAATTTGTCTATTGATGCTATTTGGTTAAAATAATAATTAGTTGCATGAAACCATTTTGCTTTTTCTAATGCCAAGCTAAAGGCCCCCTTTTTGATAAATAGCCAAGATAAAGGCCCTAAAAAGCAGTGTTGCATGAATAGAGACATAAGAATTAGAATACAACATGTTTCTTGGAGTCTGACTTAGCAAGATGAAAGTACAAGAACTCATGGACATATCTATTTGTTGAAGATTAATCAGTTTTATGATGTTTTTCTGAGTAGATGTTTTATGTTAGTTGTTAGATAGGAGGTGGGGACCACAGTAGTTATGTGAGTCAAATTTTATTATGTTTTTGAGTGTTATGTATGCTGTTTTATGTTTTGCCGCCCTATAAGGGTATAGTTGTCTTTGTACTGTTCTATTATTTTTAGTATAAATAATAAGTGAAGGGGGCGGCCAGATTATTTGCTCTCTTTTCTTTTCAACTTCTCTTCTTCTCTCTCCTTCTCTCTTCCTTCTCTCTTCAAGAAACTACTTTTCTTTCATATTTTTTTAATTCAGCAGATTTCTACTTGGTATCAGAGCATCGGCTAGGGTTTCTTGAAGCATTCTCATGCAGCCCTAGATCAGCCGACTGCATGAAGTAGTAAATGGCTGATCGATCTACTATAGGTTGCCCAGTTCTTGGATTTTTTGGTGGGATCTAGTCATCAGGAAGGTGATCTACTGTTTGGCATCAAAATAAGGAAGAACTGGAGTATGGGGAAGAGTCCTAGAAAAGTTGGACTCTTTGTTTTTGATCTGATCTTGGGCGCCCAGGTATTGTTAGTTTTCTTTTGATTTTCTGAAGAGGGCGGTTTGGTTTCTGGAATTTTCTGAGCTTCCTGGAGTGATCAATTCACTTTTCGCTTTGTTGGGAGGTGTGGGGAGGAGAGAGATTTCTCTCCAGCTAGGGTTTTCTTCTTCTGGAAGGGTTGGTTTCTGTGTGTGTGATATTAAATTATTTTTTGAAGGTCTCCAATCTATTTTTTTCTTATTGTTGAACTTTTTTAAATAAGATGGAGAGTTAGAATACCGAGATGAAATGTACCGGTACTGTGGGACTGGGTATTGGAAGTAGTAGTGATATTTTTGGGTCTGTGATCATTTCTACAGTAAAACTTGATAGTACAAATTATTTGGAGTGGGCACAATCAGCTAAGATGGCTATTGGTGCTTGTGGAAAATTAGGGTGTCTCACTGGGGAGTAGAAGAAACCTGATACAAACTCTTCCCGATGGGTGCAGGAGAATTACATGATAATGTCCTGGCTGTGTAATTCTATGTTACCTCATATTGCAAAAAATTTCCTATGGGCTAATACTACTAAGGAGATTTGGGATGGAGTGACTGAAACCTACTCTTAGAAGCAAAATGAAGGTAGAGCCTACCAGTTAAGAAATCAGGTGATAAGTATGAAACAGGGAGAAAAACCTC